ATTATTAGTCCAGTTATTGCATTGCTCTGAATTTCAAAAAATTTTATAACATGTTAGGAAAGTCAGTCTTTCTTCAAAATTTTTGAGATAAATTGGTGCCCTTTGAAATGCTTAACAATTTATGAATGAGTAAACTCACAGTCATTTATAGATGGTTGCCCTTATTATACTAAAATTCATGAAGCAATCAACATTTGAATTTTTCAAATATAGTCTACAGTACAGTAGAAAACAGAAATCTATATTCACAGTTACAAATGATAAATTTTTGCTTTAAAATACTGCAGAAAATTAGAAGACACATAAATATTTTGCTTAGTTCTCCTGTAATGTTAAAATAGGATCTTCAAGAAAATATCATCTCAATAACTGTATTTTACTAACTTAATCTTTATATCTATTTAACTTTAAAAATATTGGTATTAGTTTGTTTAAAAGCCTTAGGAAATTAAAGGTTGTTAGTCATACTTGTTTTCGTAATCAGACATTTTAGGCTATATTTGTGATAACTTTACTTATAATTTTTTAAACATGTATTCAAATCTTTAGGACCATACATTTGCTTGAGTAATCTGTAGATGAGTGTAAAGGAGCTTTCCTTTCTAATGTTACTGTTCTAATTTTGTTCATTATGAAATAAAACTTACCTTGAGCTCAGGTGGACAATCACAGGAATAACTGTGAAAACTACTAATACATTTGCCAAGCCACAGGGGTTTGATTGACACCCACTGACATCCACTTCGCAAAGATTGCCCTGGAAGCCAGGCAAGCAGACACATAAGTACATTCCACGCCCTGGAGGAAATTTCATATCAGACACACAGGATCCACCATTTAAGCAATCACAAAGTTTCACAGTCACCTACCAAAAAAAAAAAAAAAAAAGTAAATGCTTTATTTTTCAATAAGATCATCTTCAGTTTATACCCCCAAATCATGCCAGGCATGTATGTTTACTTATAGTATAACCAAATCACACATATTTACTCTCTATATATTTATTTAGTATAGAATGATACATAAAAAATAGTTTAATAAGACAGTATGTCCACTATCAACAGCATAGCCACAATATAAATGCTAGGATAACATTTTTGAAGATATTACAATATGATCAGCTTCTACAATGCAAGCAGAGTATCTGAAAAAAATCATTAAATTGGAAAGCAGTTAGTCACCTGGGTTATCCCCAAATTTAGAGAGCATATAATCACTTGAATTACTGTGTTAACGTGGCATAGAATACAGTTGCTCTTCATAATATTGCTTCTGGGTGGAAATGTGTCCCAAGTTTCAAGTGAATAAAGGACACAAAACCAGTTTATAAGTACTAAGCGCTCATGACTGACATAATCAAAAAAAAAAAAAAAGAAAAAAAAAAGAAAAGAATTATAGTTGCCAATTAGTTATTTCAAGTCATATTTATAATTATTTTTAATTCAACATCTGAGATTCTTTCACCTGAAGGAAAAGGGTAAAATTATCAAGCTTAGATTAATCACAGATCTTTCATGGAGGGAGAACTAAATGATTTCTTCATCTTTGTCATAGTTAAGTACAGAATAAAACAGTGTAGCAATTATTAATTTAGATTCACACTTCTGGGCTTGAGACTCTCTCTGAGGTTTTAAATTCTTACAAAAAATAGTCAAAGTTTTGGCAATTTAATTTCCCATGCAATGTTTAATAACAGCATTGCTCTTAACAATTAAGAATAAGACTTTTATTTTAAATTTAAAATAAACTTTCTAAAATTGCTAAAGAAATGAGTAACACTTATGTCCTCCAATGTTACCTCAATCGTGACTCTAGTTTCAGCGCCGCAGCCATCGTTAAGGTGCAGAGTGAATTGCTGGGGAGTTTCTGACTCTGGTCTCCACATAAAAAGTCCTGTAGAAGAAACACTTGCTCCTTCGGGACCAGAGTCCAACATAAAACGAATGTCAGAACCTTCTGGATCAAAGGCCATGAACTGGTATTCAAAGTTTTCCCCATAAAATGCCTGTAATTTGTCTTGCGGTGTTTGAATCACTGGGGGTTGGTTGTCTGTAACAGAGAAAAAACACTTGACTTTGTACCTGTGCAGAAAGGAAAGAAGTATAATTCTAAGAGCTCCCACAGAGACAGGCATTTTGATAAAGACTGAGCTCTGCTAAAAGTTCCGTTAGCTGCTTTCCTTTTTTTTTTTTCCTTCTAACCTTCTGAATGAATTCAATTCTATTCTTACAAAATAGAAAAGGAACTGATAGGTGTAAGACCTCAGGCTTTGCTCTTGAGGCCATGAAAGCTCTTTGAATACTGCATAGAATCTATAAATACATGTGCACTGCCCAGACCGGATACAGCTCCTCCCGTCTGAGATTACTTCTTGCTGTTGACCACCTCGAGGCTTGCTCTCTCTCACTCGCGTTCCTTTGCACTCTGTTCCTTTCAGCCTCACTTTCTCCCTCTATGCCTCTGTTTCTCTATTGCTCCCTTACTGCCCATGACTGCATGGACTCCCCTGAACCTTCCTCGCTATACTTGCCTCCCCAGCTGTAATAACGGGCAGCCACAAATCATCCCCATGTTCTAATCCTCAGAGGTCCTTCTAGTGGCCAAGCTGACACCCTAGAAAAGTGGCTATTTCAGAAGATAGGTAGAATTCTCTTTATGCCAGTGAAACAATTTAAGATATTTTTTATATTATCTTATATTTTTAAATGTCCACTGTCCTAGCCTACTGGCTTAACAGATGGAATGAGCAGGCTCATTGCATTGCACTGGGCACAAAGTCTCTTGTATTGACAAAATACTGATGACAAGAAATCATAGTTCTCATTCTGGTTCTGCCCGTGTATATCCTTACACAAACAGCCTAATTTATTGATTCCTTATCCTTCTACAAGGGATTTGAAACAGATGATATTTTTAAGACCACTTATGTCTTTAAATACTACAAATCTATAACAAATCAGTCGTTACCACAGTAATTAAAAAACAGGCACTAATTCAGAAGTTATATTGTGTTTACCTTATCTCTTGCACTAAATTTTTCCTCACATTTCCATTGTCTTCACACAATATTCCATGAATCTTGTACCAAAGCAATGAATCACCTGGCAAATGGTCTAACACAGTAATGAAGTCTGCACTTTCAATAACATGTATAATGATATTACAAAGCACTGAACAAATACAAAGTTTTATGACTTCCTTAGATAAAATTACATAAACTTCAGGAATAATTGTGCTCTATTGTATCTAATAATGTCTGATCTCCCATGAGGAAAGAGAACTTAGACACTCATAAGGAATCATATATACATATGTTTAGGAAAATTAAGAAGTTATATGGTACATGACTATAATCTGGGATTTTTTTTTTTTTGGAGGAACAAACTATCCCAAGTTATCTGTACCCAATGTTATACTCATCACATCACAGAATGGTAGTGCTGGAAGGCACTTTATAGATTATCAAGTCCAGATACTTTATTTCACAGGTAATGAATCCATGGCCTCTGGAGCTTAAATGGTTAAATGCCTCATTGCAAAACTGAAAAGAGGTAAGGCTAAAAACAAGAAACTATGTGTAACTGAATCCACAATTCCCATTTCTTCTATTAATAATTCACATTTTCTTTTCTTATTAAATATTGAAATAAATATCCCACATCTTATTGCAGTATAATCACAGAATTTATATGTATGTATATATAAATTCTTTCTATCTTATATTTCCTTCTGGCAAAGTGAATTACACAGTTAGAAGAGATGTTAAATTAAAAACAGAGTTCATTCATCTTAAATATATTTATGTAACTTATGGCTCAAAACCACTTAAAAATATCTCATATAGGAAATAATTGGATTAATAAAGAATAACTTACTTTCTAAAAATGACCAAGTAAATTTTGAAATTTGGGGTATACAAATCAAACAAGGGCTGGTTGAATTTGTATCCCCTTCACTGTAGCAGAATCCATCGATAATGCAAACATCTTCCTAATAGAAGTTTTTTAAAGATGAAAATATCAAAAAAGATACAGTTATAGTTAGTGTATAGAAAAAACAAATTGTACATGGAAAGATAGCAGCATGCGTATTGATGATTCCAATGAAACCATATTATAAATCTATTTTGATTAAGAAATATTTTATACCTCATAATCATAAATATGTATAAGAAAACAAATTATTACATGCGTGTGTAAATGCTTCTGGAACTGATCAATTTGGAAGGACTAGGTAAATACATATAAGTTCTATCTCTGCACAAAATTATACCTTATAGCTTATAAAAATATATGGAAGAAAACATGTCTGTTTACTTTTTCACTGTTGAACTCATGCTGGTAGTACTTTATTTGTAAAGAAATAAAATTGACTTTTTTCTTGAACATTTTATAAAATAATATTAATTTATACTTATCTTTCTTTTTCCTAGCAGTCCACTATGTGAACATAGGAAAACTAGACCAGAACCATGGCATATTATCTACACTTGATAATGTATATCATTACACAAAAGAGTTTAAAGAGATGCTGAAACCCACAGAAAGAACATAAAATGTGGCAATCATTCTTAACTTGGGAAGAAGACCAAAATTTATTCAGGATATATAAACTTTGCTCATTTTATAAAAATCTCCTTTGTTAACACTTAGAACATTGCACAAAAAGTAGAACAAAATAGCCCTCAAAAGATAAAACAACCTTGAAAGCAATATTTTAAAAGTACATATGGGTACATGGAAATGAAATATCTGAGGAAGAATAAAAATCAAACAACTTCTCAAAAACAAAAATGTATTATTTTTTCTTACCCCCTTCAAAAACTTATTATTAACATGATCTTATGGATAATCTCAAGAAAAAAGACTTAAAATTTAGAAAAAATAAATACTTCTCAATTTTCATATATCATATAATTTGTATGCTCTTCAGTTTTGAAAAGTCAAGTGACATTAGATCCATGGTGTGTGTTAAATTCCCAATTCACACATGAGAAAGCCAGGTCAATAAACCCAGCAGACTGGACATAGATTAAGAAGAGGGTGTGGCTCTGAGGACTCAGCTGAGGCTGGGCTGTTGTTCTGTATTCCAGGTGGCAGGTAATTGCATGGTCCAGTGAATTTAGTTGCCAGAAAAAAACTCCCTGTAAAAGTGCTAGCCTTACACATTTTACAAATTCTACTCAATTGCATGTCATTTGCCACAAAAAGGACTAAGTAACCACGAAGAGATATCTTACTGGAAAATCATTATTACTACTTAAAAAGTAATGTGTGTAGGAGTGAAGGAGTGTAGAATTCAGTCTGATCCCCTTCTTTTGCTATTTTAGGAATAAACAATCTGCCACTGTGAAATGTTAAAGGTGGAAACCTCTTCTTCACCATCTCAACAAGAGTTATAGACAGAGTAACAATTTCAATTACCTTAAATAAACTTGAGGAAGCCTTTCTCTACTAGTCTTTCTAATACAAAGCTGAAAAAACTGTAATTGATATGTCAGCAGCATGGAAAATGAAAATAACTATGATGTAAATACGACAATAAGTGAAAAGATGCATACCTTTATAGTACATGAGTCATTTTCATTGAGACCACAAACTTGACAAGCACCATCATATATGATCATTATTTTTGGATTACTGAACTTATAACCATCATTAGATACCTGTAGAGATTGTAAAGTAGATGTAGTTCTATTAATATAAGATTAATTAATGCTTTATATTAAGTTCTATTAATGTAAGATGTAGTTCTATTAATATAATTTGCTCTAAATGTAGCCTCATAAACTCATTACAAAATTTTAGATAAAGCATGTACTTTTTTATATAAATATGAAGATATCATTTTAGTTCTTTACCTTTAATTGCCACTTTCCAATTGGTTCTTCACCCATCAGATCCATGGTATCAAACTGCCAAACATCAATGGGCAGCTGACAATCAACAGTTCTGCTGTTTTGAAAAACACTCTGTGTGTAGAGGGGTTCTCCAAGCACCCATTCACTGCTATTATACTGAAGGCGTAATGAGAAAGCAATTAACATCTGTTAAATTATGGAAATATTTTGCTAGCGAATTACATATGATCAAAATATAAATTTTAAAATACACACCTAGAACAATGGAATATATAATGACAAAACAAAAGCCACATTGAGAGTGAGTTTTATTCAGAATAATAAAAGACGTATACATCTTAATTTGATGTAAACTGCTTCCAATGAATCATGCATTTCTTGGAGGTTCAAGAAGTTACCAATATTGGCCATATATAACAGATCACTATGTAATTACCCTTGTAGCAAAAGGAAATGTATGTGGCCATGTATTATATTTGACAGACAGTAGATTAATGGCCAGGAAACTCCCTCAATTTCTCCTGCAAAAAAAAGCTCCCACCTTCTACATCTACTTGAAACTATCCATTCTGCCCTTCATCTACATGGTTCCTTCAGGGCCTCTCATGTTCTTATATGACCAGTCTCCCTGTCTATACTTGACTGGTCTAGTGGTAGACCCAAGCTGGGCCAATGCTTCAATTACATATACACTTCATCTTTGTACCAAAGAGAATTTGGGGCCAGTCTGCCTCTAGTGACTCAAGTTGTAAGACACAAATCATAGAGCTGTTGATGGCCATTTTTTCACCACTTGAAGAAAGCCAGTTAAATTGCCTTGGTTTACATGGGAATTGGTTCCAGGACCCCTGCCTATACCAAAATCTATGCCTACTCATGTCATACAAGGTATACAAAAAGTTAGTCCTCCATACATGTGGTTTCTTATCCCATGAATACTGTATTTCCCATTTATATGTGGAAAAAATCTGCATATAAGCAGATTCATGCAGGTAAAACCTATATTGTTCAAGGGTCAACTGTATATAATGAAATGCAAAAATGTTGCCCACAAACAAAGAAAAGCAGAACTGACACAAATTGCTACACATACATACAAATGTGCACATACTGAATCTTCATGGTATTCAAGTTCCAGGTTCAAGTTTTTTTTTGTTGTTGTTGTTTTTTTAAGTTTTTTTATTTCAAGAAATACAAAAGCTTACTCATATCAAGCTCGATATTTTCTTAGTTTTTTATTAATGACTGAAAATAGTAATCCTCAATAAAAATTACATAAAATACTCTAACAAAGTTAACGGATAGGGAGGCGTTAAGATTATGCAACTGAATCATTATCCTGTTCAGCTCTCTGTGGATATAACACCTTTGGGGATTATGTTGCTAATTGATAGAACAAACGAATCCAAGATAATATTAATCTGCATATCTCATGAACTCTATTGTTTCTCAATGCTATAATTAACATACCTTCAGTTTAGTAACTTCACATTTAATTGAAGGTGATTCTTTGAAGCCTTTACCAAACACTCTCACCATCATACAATTATATTTTTGAACATCACAGAATCCAGCATTCTCAAGCTCTATAATTTCAGGAGCTTTGCCTTTGGAAAAAGTATAAAAAATAGGACATACTTTCCTTAATTTCGGAAAAAAACTAATTATTTTCAAGGCCCAAATTAAAAGCATATGTAAAATATTAATAATATTTCAAAGTATACCCCAAATATTATTTACTACATTAATTAAACCATTAAATTTTAAAAGTAATCTGATATTTTAAAAAGTTATCTATCATCAAACCAATACAAATATCATTACAGATACTACTGATGCCTAAATACATGGGTGTCATTAATATTTTAATATTTGATATCAACTAAGGACAAGTATTAAGAAGTTACTACTACAGTACATTTTGGTTTTGACATTTGGTTTCTGCCATATAGATGGGTTATAAGAAAAATACTTCCGTAATAAAATAGTGTAGTTAGCAATGCAACTTATTATAATTTCAAAATTTCATTATCTATATCAGCAAGATCTGGTTGTCAATATGGATATATGCAGTGTATAAAAGTAATTAAGTCCTTTGCCTAAATAATGCCCAAATCTAAGTGAATATATTAATAACTTTGCTAGCACTAGGGTACAAAATTATGTCATGTGTATTCAGAACCCTAAATATCTTTATGAAAAATTTTTAAAAACATGTGTTAGTTCAGTTCATACTTTCATGCATTCAACAAATGTTTATTTAGCAGTTTCTATGTATATGGTATTATTCTAGGTACTGAAGATGAAGTAATGAACAAAGTCCTTGTCTTCATGTAACTTACACTCTAGCATGGGAGGATAAAATAAAAACAAATGAAAAAATAAACATTATGCATTACATAAGTGTTTTCAAGAATGTGGGGGAAAAGTATTTTAACTATATTAAAGGAGATAATGACTATGTGATTGTGTGAGAAAAATGACTTTATTTTGAATAATAGGAGGATTTTCTGATAATATGACATTTGAAAAGAGAAGTAAAGAAAGTCAGTCATAAAGATATATGGTGTAAGGAATAGTAATAGTAAGTGCAAAGAAAGAAAGAATAGTAAGTGCAAAGGTCCTGAGGTAGAAACAGGCCTGGGTCCTTTGTGGAACAGCAAAGTAGCCAGTGTGTCTGAAGCACAGTGAGCTGGGGGCAGGGGAGATGGTAGGTGAATTAAGAGAGAGAGGAGCCTTAGATTATCTAGGGTCTTCCAGCCATGGCAGGGATTGTGGATTTTACTCTGGAAGAGATGGAGGCCATTCAAGGGATTTAAGCAGACGAGCATAATCTGACTTACATTTCAGTGGGGTCACTTTAGCTGCTGCTGCATGGAAAATAAGCTTTGAGAGCATCTATGATGATCCAGGTGAGAGATAACGGTGGCTTGGACTAAGGTTGTAGCAGGGAAGAGATGAAATGCTTTGAAGCTGGAGCTGGATTTGCTGCTAATGGATTAAATTTGAGGCATGAGAGGAAAAGGACAGTCAAAAATGACTACAGGTTTTTAATGTGAGCAATTAGAGGAATGAAATTTTCATTTACTAAAATGGAAAATGCTGTAGATGAAAAGGGCAGGATGGTAACCATGGGAGGGAACCAGAAGTTACTGGTTTACTGGTTAAAGGAACCAAACCAACTTTTTAGAATTTCTTTCTCTAACATATTGAGACAAAATAGTTTGTACCACATAGATGGGTTAGATAGGAAGAGTTGTAAGCAAATTAGTGTAATTAGCAAAATAATATGAACATAGTGTTTTAAAAATATTAAATTTGAGTTCTAAGTAAACAATTACTCTCTACAGGTAGAGAAAACAGTTGTGTGCAAAGGCCCTGAGGTCAAAGTGAAACGCATTTTCAAGGAACAGCACAGAGACCAAAGTGGCTGGAGTGGATAGACAGGGTGACAGCAGTAGGGGATGAGTTTAGAGAGATAACTATGCACCAGATCACACTGTGCTTTATAGGCTGTTATACATATGTCAGCTTTTACTCCTAAGAAGATGAGATGAGATGCAGTTAGAAAATTATTAACGTATTAATATAATTTGGGGGTTTCCCCTATATAATCTGAATGAGTCCTGTTGAGACACTGAAGGTAAAAAAATGAACAAAGATATTTTCATAATCAAATATCATATGCAACATTAAAGCTTGAGAGTAGTCACTTACCATACACATCACTGCAGTCATAGGAACTAAAGCCTGGGAAACACGCACACCCCCATTCCATACACTGCCCGTTGCCACTGCATAGATTGGGGCATTTTAATACTAACAGAATGTCCTCAATTGACTTGCTGTATTCTTCTGTGTTATATTTCCCCTCTTCCAAAATTCTTTTTTCGCATTCATTTTCTAAAAGGGCCACACCCGCTTCGGCCCAGCTAAGATCATCTTTTAATAGAACATCCTTCACACACATATCTATAACGCTGTCTAGTCTCTTGCCAAGGAAAGCAAGACAGAGCCTTCCTATGCTGGAGTTGGCTAGAGTCTGCTGACACAGTGCCAAGGTGCTGCGTTCAGTGAGGCCAGAGGGTGTGGGCCCCGAAGGGACAAAGTCCCGGTGGACATCCTCAGCATGGTCCTCAGGGAAAAAATAAGTAAATTCTTCTAAGTCCGTTTGGCTGAGACTTTGGAAGGCAAACGGCGAAACAGAGTCATGAAAGTTTTGCCGTTTCCCTCTCTTTTGTTGATCCCACCTCATCTCTCGACCGTGGCTACCTTGGTCCTGCATGTGTTTCTCATTGTCCAAGTATTTAGGTGCATCTTGGTTTTTATTCCCAGCATGGTTTTGTAAATTTACGTCCAGTCTGGTCAGGTTTACATGCTTCTGTTCTTGTGGAAATAAATTCAAATTATTTTCGTCACCAGATGTATGTTTGTTTATCCCTCTGACGAGAGTGTCTGAATTAATATATTCAGAGGTGACATCGAGTTCTGGTATCAAAGAAGAGAATCTGACATGTTTGAGGTCTCTGCAAGCTGAAGCAATTTCTGATTGAAAATCACTGTCCAGGTGATTCGAAGGTGGATACCATAAAGAAGTGTCTGATGAGCAGCCACAGTAGGATAGTTTTCCAGGCGATGTCAGAGAAATCGGCAGTGTGTCAAACATGCTCTTTCCCGGTAGAATCCTTCCCAATGGGAAACAGAAAAGGATAGTAATTTGTACATGAATATTTTTCTTAGTCATATGTTACAAAAAAGCTGATCATTGAATCACCACCCATTTTAAGTCTAATATTAATACAATTACAAGTGAAAAATAGTTTCTTACCTCCATTCGTTAATAAAAGCAACACAATTATTAAAATTTTGATCAATTTTGAACCCACTTTTATCATGGAAATCATTTTCTGGATTTTCATCAAAGGTACCACAAAGTCCCAGGGTGTTTCTGTAATCTGAACTAGGGGCTCTGATTGTTAAACTCATGCCCCATTCACTAAGATCAGCACGAATGAATGCTCCCGAAGAAAACCGAATCTGAAATACAGAAATAACCAATACAAAACCAAAAGATATTGAAGTAATATTCAATTTACATAAAGAAAAAACTATAATTTAAAAAATAAGAAATATTCTGAGGAGGGCAGGGCAAGGGCAATATATGTAACCTTAACATTTGTACCCCCATAATATGCTGAAAAAAATAAATAAAATAAATAAAAAATATTCCTTCAACATAAAAAAAGAATAAAATACTGATTTTTTAAACTACAAATTTCCTTTTAATGTTCTATGCCCAAAAGTGGGTTTTTGTATTTTGCTGACTTGAAATTTGATCATCTGATTTTTTATTGAGGTATGTTGTTTGAAATCTTTTTATTTAAATAATTTAAAATAAACTGAATAGCACGGTAATGTTATAAAAACAGACACATAGATCAAGGGACTAGAATAGAGAACTAAAAAGTAAAGTTACATATTTACAACCAACTGATCTTTGCAAAGTCAACAAGAACATACATGGGGCAAAGGACATTCTTTTCACTAAACGGTGCTGGGAAAATTGAATAGCTATATGCAGAGGAATGAAACTGTACTCCTAACTCTTACCATATACAAAAAATCAACTCAAGATGGATTAAAGACTTAAATGTAAGACCTGAAACTATAAAAATACTAGAAGAAAACCTAGGGAAAACTCTTCTGGACATTGATCTAGGCAAAGAATTCATGACTAAGACCTCAAAAGCATAGGCAACAAAAATACAAATAGACAAATGACACTTAATTAAACTAAAAAGCATCTGCCCACAAGACTAAATCAAGAGTGAACAGACCACCTGAAGAATGGGAGAAAATATTTGCAAACTATGCATTTGAAAGAGACCGATATCCAGAATTTATAAGGAATGCAAACAACTCAACAAAAAAACCCTACAAATAATCCATTAAAAAGTGGAAACAGACATTTTTCAAAAGAGAACATACAAATGGCCAATAGGCATATAAAAATGCTCAAAAATCACTGACCATCAGGAAATTGAAAATCAAAACAAAATGAGATATCTTACCCCAGTCAAAATGGCTTTATTAAAAAGACAAAGAGGCTGGGTGCGGTGGCTCACGCCTGTAATCCTAGCACTCTGGGAGGCCGAGGCGGGCGGATTGCTCAAGGTCAGGAGTTCAAAACGAGCCTGAGCGAGACCCCGTCTCTACCATAAAAATAGAAAGAAATTAATTGGCCAACTAATATATATAATATAAAAATCAGCCGGGCATCGTGGCTCGTGCCTGTAGTCCCAGCTACTCAGGAGGCTGAGGCAGGAGGATTGCTTGAGCCCAGGAGTTTGAGGTTGCTGTGAGCTAGGCTGACGCCATGGCACTCACTCTAGCCTAGGCAAGAAAGCGAGACTCTGTCTCAAAAAAAAAAAAAAAAAAGACAAAAAATACCACATGTTGGTGAGGATGTGGAGAAAAAGGAATTATACACTGTTGATGGGAATGTAAACTAGTACAACCTCTATGAAAAACAGTATGGAGATTTCACAAAGAACTAAAAATAGAACTAAAAAAGAATAGAGGTGAAGCACCTCTCTCTATCACAAGAATATCATCTTTCCCAGACCAGCCACATGGATGTACTACATATGTGGATTTTTTCCGAAAATCACTGAAGACAGATACAGCACTGTGTTTGTTCTTCTGTTTTTTTTCCCCTTTTAATTTTTTTAAAATTTAAAAATAGCTGTTTTTTTTCTTTTTACAAAAATGGTATGTGTGCATTACAGAAAATTATTTTAAAAGCAAATAAACCTTACATTCAAATCAACCAGAAGTAGCTGATGTTAGGATCTTGCTGCAAATGCTTTGAAAACCTCTTTTGTATTTCATGCATATCTCTGCCTGTCACTAAATACACACCTACTCCATCATTTCCATGACTACAAAGTGTTCTCTTATGTGGCATCACTATATTTGAAGTTTTGGTTAAATCCTTGATTGATCACTAATTGTAACTTTCCTTTTAAGGAAAGATATAATAAACATCATTGGGGCTATGCACATCTTTAATAATTTATTACAATAAATTCTAGAAGTTAAATTTCTTGCTAAAATATCATACATAGGTGAAGGTGATATATAATATATATGACCTTTGGAAAGACTATAATTACTTCTACTATCTGTACTCTTGTTAATATTGTATGAGAGATGTTTGATCTGTATTGACTTATTCGATTACTAATGAAGTTAAAGTTTTTGTATTTTTGTTGGTTATTTGTACTTTTGGGCATATTTATCAGTTTGATTTCTTTTGTGAAATGCCTTTTTATATTATTTGCTCATTTTAATTCACATGCTGATTATGCATTAGTGATAGATGAGTGTTTTCTATATTGACTGCATGTTTTAGATTTAGCAACTCTTTTCCCAATTTTTGATTTGCATTTTGATTTTTAATGATGGAATTGAAATATATGTTATGTTCAAAAATCATTAGTCACTTCATTAAATGTCATAAGGCCATATACTTAAAATTTTTAATACTTTTTATTTAAATTTAAATTTAATTTACATGGAATTTACTGTTTTGAAAAATGAGAGGAAGATGACCATGATTTTAAAACATAGTTATCTCATAGATATGAAATACTATCTTTAAAAATATTAGTGAGTATATAATCTTGGGTCTGTTTGACAATTTTATATTCTCTTACACTTATTTAACAGCCCATTCCTGAGGTAGTACCACACTGTATTCATTTCGAAAGTTGGTTAGTTATTCCTATGTCTGTCATCATCTTTGTCTAATATACCATTTATTGGACACTGTCAAAAATATTTTTATAAATAATCCACAAAGTTATTATAGAGAAATTTTAAATAAGGCAGTTTAGATTTGACAGTTGTAACTATGGTGTGCCTATCTGTATGTGGTAGAAAAACAAAACTGTATTCATTCTAAGATCATAGTTTAAATGATATTTTCTTCAACAAACTAACTTTGAAAAATGATAGCTCCCAATTTAATAGAGATAAATAGAAGTTTATCCAAAGTGAGAAAAAGGAAGAAACTTTCAATATTAAAGAATCATACATACTGTGACTTTTCTTCCTAAGTAAGATTCACTTATCTTGATATTGCTGGTTACATCTTGGCTCTTTACAAATAAATATGGTTGTGATTCATGCAGCTGACCACTGCACATATCAAAAGTAACTACATCACCTTCTTCTTGAGCAACAAACCCGCAGTTACATGACACAGGATATTGAAGGCTCCCACAGTCCCACTGACGTACATGGACTTCAAAATCACGTGACATACTCTTATAAAGAACAAACGTTCCAGTCTTGAAATTATCATATACCCTATCAATAGCAAAAGGCAATTGCATTAAGAATTAGTGTAAAGTATCACATTAGTATGTAATAAATCAAAAATATGTATTGAAGTTATTTATAGGCATTCTCTGTCTATATATATATATGTGTGTGTGTGTGTGTATATAGATGTAGATGTTAGAATGAGAAATCTAGATTTCCAATACCTTTATGTATCAGGAGCATTCATTTGTATGCACTGAATAAAACAAAGTAGTGATAAACACCTCCATCTCTCCCACTACTCCTTTCTCCCCTTTTGCCACTCTAGTCAGTCAAGTGGCTCTCCTTGAGCAAGGCAAGCTTGCTGAGTGGTCTTCTCATATGTGTATGCCCATGGCTATCTCCCTCACCTTTTTCCAGTACTTGTCCAGATGTCACCCTCACTTAAAGGCTTTCCATAACCATGCTATTTTAATATAAATTGCAACCCCTACTTTCAGCCTTCTTCCACCTCTGGTTTAGTTTTCTTCACAATGTGTACCTTCTTCAGACACAATCTATATGCTATTTATTATGTGTGTTAATATCTCTTTCCAATTATTGAAAAGTCAGCTATTTTGTTCACTGCCATATTCCCAGTACTTAGAACTTGGCTTGTCATCTAGTTGTTGCACAATTAATCTGTGAATTGTTGTATTAAATTCATTACTATGCTTTCTTGAGGTTTTTCTACCAAAACTTCCAAGCCTTTAGATATGACCATAAAGGATTCTTGTGTGTAGGATCAGTTCCTCCAACTTTTCAATACCTGCTCAAACAATTGGAGTATAATTTTTTATCGAATAGGTTCTATATCTATTCACTTATATTGAATGATTTTACTGACACTAATCACACTACAATTTTTTATTTTAAAAAGTCAACTACTTTGAATCATGAAGAAAATTTTGAGTCCAAAATGAGGTATTCTCATCATTTTCCTTAAAGACATCTTAGAATCACGAATGCCCCAAAACTGTATAATTGAGTTTAAATCTTTCTAGGCAGATACTAATAATAAAATAGCTTAGATTACTTTTTGGGCATTTTGCCCATTTTACTTTAAGTTCCAGAGGCAAATATCCAGATATTCATGATAGTTAGAACAGTTTTTCCCCTGAGTATTCTTGTCAAATATTAGAAGCCATTCATTTTTAAATGAATTCTAATGTGTTAGTTTAATCATTTCGCTTAAACCTTAAAGTTTTTTTTATTATCTTATAGACATGCAATTCAGTAAATATCTCTAGAGCTAACAATTTAATCATTATTAAAAATAAATAAATGGTACAGCAAAAATGATTATCTGCCTTTGTAATAAACTTCATTTATACAAGTTCAGCCTTTATAATTAGTCCATATTTTTTTTTACTAGGGATTAGATTTTGAGTCAAAAAAATTCTACAGAAACAAACTAGTATCTTGAAACAAACCAGTAATGACTATATATGCCTTACTTTCTAATTTTTCAGTGACTAGGACTGAGAAATTATAAAACAGTATGCTGTTTAACACAAAGCAACAAAACCAAGAAGAAACAAAAACTACTAAAAGAAAAAACTTTCAGGAAATTACCTGCCATCAAATGTAATTATATGTGGGTCAGTAAATGAATAGCAGTAAGCAGTTGGAACATCCTTTACTCTGATCTTAAAAGCAAAGATATTTTTGGTAAATATCACCATTAATTGTTATTTAGTGATAGATAATAAATTGCTTAGCAATCTCAATAAATTTTTAATTAATTATTGTTATCATAGTTATTGAAAATTGAATATTTTAGAAACTAAAATAATTTATCAAATAATTTTTAAATGAAAAGTTTACAGGATATAGTGATAAAATATACACATTTTTTAAAGCTTAAATTATAAAGATGTTTTTGTAACATGTCAACCTGGATGCTGTCTGGAATGTAGCTGTTCCACAGGAAATCCTCATTGACTATAGGTTGCACTGCAATGTTTGTAACTCTATCTCCATCTCTAGAAAAATCTGCAACAGCAGTGTAGTACACCAAAGTGTGGCTGCAGGTTCCATTCACACAGAATGATGTCTCATGAAGGTCCACATGACAGGAAGACAGTGCCAAATTTAAGCCTAGGTGTTCTTTACCTGTTTTCATTAAAAAAAGAAAAAAGGTTGAAAATTTTGTAAAGGAATACACTAATCAAAACATGTAATGACGTGATCAATGTGGGACACTTAATTGAAAAAGTATTCTTAGATTATTTTCTCTTTCTTAGAAAATATAGTTGTGGAGGGGAATGGTAGCTTATGTCCATAATCCCAGCACTTTGGGAAGCTGAGGTGGGAGGATCGCTTGAGACCAGGAGTTCGAGACCAACCTGGGCAATATAGAGAGACCTCTTTTCTACAAAAATTTAAAAAGTTAGCCAGGCACAGTGACATGTGTCTACAGTCTCAGCTACTCAGGAGGCTGAGGCAGGAGGATCGCCTGAGTATAGGAATTCGAAGTTGCAGTGAGCTATGATCATACCACTACACTCTAGCTTGGGCAAAAGAGCAAGACTCCATCTCAAATATATATATATATAGTTGTAATTTTTGATTAAATTAAACCAGAACTATTAAATCTACCTGGTTTTTATAAATAACTAACTTCAATATATACATACATGTGTATTTTTAGTAAAGTTATAAATCCATATGAATCTGGATAACATTCAAAAGCAATGAATAAAATTTATCTTTGTTTTTGTTATAAGTGTATGTGTATGTGTGTGTATATATATAATTCTAGCACTAAGAAACATAATTTGATTTTTTTCTGCCTAAGAATTGTGCCTTGGGCCCAGATACTTCTGTAATATTTCTTATGGCATGTATTCATGTTCAATCCATTGCTGAATAATAGCAATGGCTTTAAAAAATAGAAAAATAAAAACAGATGAAGGTGGTCTCAAATTAGTGATAAACTATTTCTTTTCACACCCAAATGTCCCAATATATTCAGAACCTTGAGATGTTCCTTGCCTAGAGAATAAAGACTAAGAAAAATAATTTGGAAATGGAATGATAACAGAGGAGGAAGGAACTCTAGGAATTTGTATAACTAAACAAAAAGAACAGATTCCCTCAACACTAGCTACAAAGGAAGTATGCCTTCATATACAATTAGTGATTCCAAAGTCCTTCCAAGAATCAAGGAGAAAGAAATGTGTTATTAAAAATTTTCTGTGTTCTTTTCTCCTATGCACATTTTTTAGGTATAAAATTATATTGGTCAGATACAGTCATACTGCACTAGATTTAAAATTATTGAAAAATTTTTTATGCATTTTTTCTAAAAAGATATACTTTTCCTATGCAAATAAAAAATAACATCCAAACTCTTAACCAGCTCCCTAAGGTGAATATGGAATATTTCTAGCTTAGATGTCTGGCTTAGATATAGTCCATGACATCAGCTTCCTGAGTCTATTGTATGAGGGCCAAAGGTAGTTCTCTTTAAGTCTGTGAATAAGCAATATAGTTTGTGTAAAAATACACTAAGAGACACCAACTTGTTCTCCATGAAAGTAGAGACTTAATGGAAATATACTTAAAGAAGACAAGATGAGGAATATACACTTTGAAATCCAAAATTTCCTCCAGAAAAAAAGGAAACAATTTTTAATTGACAGAGAATAAAAACACGCAAACTTCTAAAATGTAGGCATATATTTAGGCTATTTTTACATTATTATATCAACGCTTGCCTTGTTTAAAGATTTGAAAACATGCAAACGCATTTTAAACTACATTTGTAACCAAAGGACATTTTTTACCTAACACCATTTTGAAAAATATCAATGACATCATCCTATTCCTATTTTCTCTATAATCCATAGTATAAGAATATTTGCATAATAAGATTTTCAGAGGTAGCCTGAAATAGAATTGTGTTACGTAGACTGAGAAAGAGAGTGTAACTTCGTATTTCATATTTCTGGGCTTTAATTCAAAATATAATGTTGCTCATAATGCTCCTGAATCTGAGTAGCTGGGTATTATTTAAACCTGTTTACTGTCAAGTATCTTATGATGACCTCTCTTAATTTCTCTTTCTGACTCCTTATCCAACTCTTTTCTTGGGTGTATTATTCCTATGAGAGTCTGTGTCTCCTTGCTTTTTTTCCTCTTGCTTCTCTGATTTAATTAGGTGTAATAAAAATGTGAAGATGTATATGTGCTGTGTTTGGTATATTTACTAAACAAAATGTCATGTTTTACAGTGAAAAGATACATGGTATGTGAACAGAATTGTAAACTCTCTTAAAGGTTATGTTTTCATTTCTGTATCTCTTATTTGCTTTGATCTCTACATCAGGGATTTAGGGGTAAAAAAGAACTCAATCAACCCAATGACTGTTTCCATGGATTGTCTTCTCATATTCTATCTCGTCCTGTGGGTTCTGTGGAAGGATTTCTGCTCCCTCTATAGGGCTGGGACAGTGATATACATGTGGCCATGCATCAGGACATCTATATGAGTAGTAATTTATATAGAATAATTTTAAGACAAAAAAATCCCAAACATAAGCTTTCATTAGGGAGAGAAGTGCAAAGAATGCATTATGAGATCTATGTTTCATAAGCTTAAAATTTCAATGTCGCTTATCATAACTCCCTCACTGGGGACAATTTGGAAAATCTTAAAGAGCAGTTTGTCCCTTAACCTATGAAAGCAAAACAAAGGAAAAAACAAGTGGGAGGATGAGAAAAACAGGAGGCGAAGGGTGAGAGAGAAAGATAATAATGAAGAGGAGATTGTTCATTATTTTTTTTATTATTATTTATTTATGCTTTCAGTTCAGGGGGAATAAATGTGAATTGCTTTGGCAATCATGAATTTGCCTCAGTGTTATTAATACGATTGATCTATAATTTGATGTAAACATGCAACATAGTTTATTATATGAGTACACTTCAGTGACTTTTTCTAGAGGGAAAAAAAGCATTAGTTATTGTTTGAAAGCTAATAATAAAATTAAATGAATTTAATATATTACCTTGATCAATAGTTTTCAGCTTTAATGAAATTTTGCATTCTTGATCAAGCTCACTAAATTCAGAACAAACAATAGGAACTGTGCTCTCTATCCTTAACTGGTATTCTTTCCCATCTTCTGAGATAGTGCTCAATTCGGGTTGTAGCTGGTATAAAAAAATGAGTAGAGAAGTTATGTTAAAATAGAATTTATTTCTAAGGTATAATTTTGAATAAGCATTTTCTCAACAGCCCATCTTTTGCTAAATGAGCTAGTAATGACTTAAGCACTGAAATTTTTTATATTTTATCTTACCTTATTTTATTTTATGTATGTTTAAAATTTTATTATAGAGATAGGTTTTTGCTCTGTTGCCCAAGCTGGAGTGCAGTGGCCTGACCATAGTTCATTGCAGCCTGGAACTCCTGGGCTTAAGGGATGCTCCCACCTCAGCCTCCCAAGTAGCTAGGACTACAGGCATGCACCACCATGCCCAGCTATGAGCACTGGAATATTTTTTTAACTAAATAAAACCAATTAAAACCAAACCCATAAAAATATAAGCAGTGCACAAAGAAGTACATGGAGCTGCTGCACTGCTCTGAGTTTAAACTCAATTTTGTTCACCAACACATGCTGCCTTAGTGATTCTGGTTTTGCAATAGGCACTAGAGAATGCAAAAGAAAGAATGATTCCTATTTTCTTCTAAGAGTCGGGTTATTCTTAGGGATTAATATTCACCATTCCAATCATAAATGTAAGTATTTTTAATACATTAATCAAATTATTATTGTTATGTGAAATCTCAGCTTCTGAGCACTGCTGCAACCTAGGACTGGCTCTATTCCAAGGACTGGCTCTATTCCAATCCTTTTTTAAGGCAGAGATATTTTTATGCAGCCTCAAGACTTGGCTGCCTCTCAAAATAGATGTTTCTTAGTGATAAATATTCTCCCTGTAGCCTATTCAGAAACTATATCTGAGGGCCACATGTTGGCCCTTGACATTGTCTGCTGAGTGCTCACCAATGCAGAGTAAATGATTTCTGTGTTCCCATGGTTTGAATTCTGCTTCTCCTGACACTGTGGTTGTGCTATTCTGACCACATGGCCCACTCTTCTTTCTTCCATCCTTGTTCACTATGGTATATCCATGGACTTTATTAAGGAACGGGGTTTATCCTGGTCCTGTGTCCTATTCTCACAATCTATCAATGATCCCATCTTGTCCTTGAACTAGGAATGAGTCCAGGACAAACTCCAGTCCTATGAGTGAGACTTCCCAGTGCACAGTGCTGGCCTGCCCGGACCTATTGATATTTCCCCCTCTTCTTCTACCACTTCTAAGTTTCCTGTCACCTTCGCTCACCTTCTGGAATAGCTGATCGATTTCTGGATCCCAGTCCTACCAGCAACAACTTTATTAAATTTTGCCTGTTTAGTTAGCTCAATCTTTGCAGTCCATAAAACACAGAGCTCTGGTATGTGTATACCATGGAGTATTACTTAACCATAAAAAGGAATGAATTAATGTCTTTGCAGCAATTTGGATGGAATTGGAGACCATTATCCTAAGTGAAATATCTCAAGAATGGAAAAACAAAAACCACATGTACTCTCTAATTTGGAACTAATTGATGGGCATAGAAAGAAGTAAAAATCACTGAAAATCAAGAAGTGGTTTAATTTTTTAAATTATAGATTAAATTTTTAAAACTTTTAGATTTTTAAAAATCATTTAAAATGTTTTTTAAAAAACCCTCAGAGCTCTAAGTCACTTCTACTCCAGTTGGAAGCTCTACTACTTTGCCTGGTACCTGTCTTTCAAAATGCATGTTAACTAAATATTGACATGCTAACTTTTAGCAACATGATGGAATAAATTATGGGAATAGAGCTTTTGCTTTATTTTAATAAAGAAATGCAAGTATATCCCAACTTCAGTTCATAAACAAGGATCTTCAAACTTTGTTGTGCATTAGAATTATTGAGGTTATTCTTCAAAAACAGAAACCCCTCTCAACATTCTGAGTTAGTCTGTGATGAAGCCTGTGATGGGGAACACATTTTCAGAGGAATTATCTTTCTGATCCAATCACACTGACACTGACCTTAATGCCTGCAAAAAATTCTTGGCTTTCAATGGCTAAACTTTGTATATGCGGTTTCTCCAAGAAAAAGATGGAAGCACTGCAGAATATCTGTGAATACAGTTATCAAATAGTCATTCAGCAATATAATTTTGGAGAAAATATGTGTAAATTATTATCTTTAAATTCTTAATTTTAACTTTTAATCATGCATGAGATAATCAAATAACTAAGTTAAAATTAGCTTGAAATTTGAGAAAAATTCCATCATTATAAAATATTACTTATTCAAACCTCAACATAAAGTGTAGCAGGCTTTGTATTCAAGATATATATAAAGGAGGATAAAATTATCATCATTAAAAAATTAAACTATTTATTCTAGGATAAAATATATCACTTTAAAACCTGAAAGAAACATGTATTTATAAAAATTCATCAATAATAATCAGCAAATTGCTAAAATGAGATATGCATAGATAGCCACTAAGATTACTAACTCATCCAGTTGTCATTAGATTTAGCACACAGCCAAGGAAAAGACAAGAAAAAAATTAGCATTTTATATACTGTGGACAAAATATACTTTTAGGACATTATAAAAAATTATGTTTGAAAATCAATATATTTATGAAAACAAAAGAAAATCCAAATGTTTTTGAACATACCCTGTCTCCAAGTCTGAGATTTATGCCATCAAGTTCTAAAAGAGAGAATGCCTGAACTGTGGTCTCTTGTTTCAGCTCCTCTTTGATTTCTTGAGGAGAAAGCCTAGACCAAGTTATGAGAAATCCCACTGAGTGGTTTGTAGGGGACACATCAAAAGCACACCTACAGAAAAGCCGGGACTCAATCACTTCCACCTTAACCTCTGGCCTTCCTGGAGGTAGAGGTGGCAAGGAGGCAGACAGCTGACCTGGTGGGAGAAAATGCAGAATTTGTTACTGGGACTCTTAAAGAATGGAGACTGGCTTATGGAAAAAGCACTCAAAGACTATATAACTCCAGCATTTATCCTAAGAAAAATTAGAATAAATTTAGAAATATGATTATTTCAAGCAATAAAAAGTTGCACATTCACATTGTGACCCATAATCACACAAATATTAATATTGATAGCCAAGCAAGTTATCAATTCATCAAGCTTATATCAAGGCATGTTGAATATCTGCCTTTGAAAAGTCAAGCTCTTGAAAATAAAAGTAATTTACATTTTTAAGCAATTATCCTTTCTAAAAGATGGAAAAAGCAAAATTAAGGTTTAGTACATTATAATTTCTTGTTATAAAGAAAAGTAGTCAGAATTGTAAAAGGAAATGACTTTCTAATTTACTCTTATAATTTTATCTTATAACTCAACTAATCATTACTCTGGGTTAAAGGAGCTATTCATTGCAGAGGTCACTGTATTGTCTTAATGAAATATAATAAGTGTTAAACAGCAGTTTTATACTTTTCATTTTTTGAGGTTAAAGAAATTTGAAGTTGCCTCTAGGAACTCATAGGAAGATTTTAAAGTTTTTGACTCTGGTCATTTGCAAAGTTAAATCTGGGGATCTGAAAAGTTTCTAAGTAATTTTTTGCATTGTTTTGTTTTGCTTTAGAAAACAGAAAAATATTTGAGTGAAAATTTTAAAAAATAAGTTTTTAAGTTTTCTAAAATTTGGAAACATTTTTCCTATTATATACATGATAATTTTTTGACAATCACAAAACTAATCTTTCAGCCCTGTCACGTATTAATAGATTTTGAAAAATTCTGAGACCTTAAGATATCTCTTAAGATATCATAAGACCTAAGATATCTCCTGTGGAGGAAATGTACTTTTAGATATTATGTTTTATTTATTTTTTTTAATTTTTAATTTCAAAATATTAAGAAGGTACAAGGTTAAGAAGGTTTAGGTTACATAGATCACTTTTGTAATGCTTGAGTCATGGCTAGGGGTGCCCATCACTGAAACAGTGTTCACAGTATCCATTAGTAGGTTTGTTTTCCCTCCCCTCTTCCTCCTCCCTCCTGGTTGATTTCCACTGAGTTTTACTTCCCTCTGTACAAATGTGTGTTCATCAGTTAGTTCCAATTTAATAGTGAGTACATGTGGTGTTTGTTTGTTTTTCCATTCCTGAGGTACTTAATTTAAGAGACTGGCCTACAGTTCCATCCAGATTATTGCAAAAGATATTAATTCATCTTTTTTATGGCTGAGTTATATACATATGGCTCCATTATATACATATGCCACACGTTATTAATCCACTCATGAATGGATGGCACTTAAGTCGATTCCACATCTTCGCAATTGTAAATTATGCTGCAATAACCATTTGAGTGAAGGAGTATTTTTGATGAGAAGTCTTCTTTTCTTTTGGGTAAATACTCAATGGTGGGATTGTTGAATCAAATGGTCAGTCTACTTTTATTTCTTTGTGGAATCTCCATACTGTTTCCATAGAGGTTGTACTAATTTACAGTCCCACCAAAAGTGTATAAGAGTTCCTTTCTCTCTGCATCCACGCCAGCAACTATTGATTTATTTTATGTCATTATAGCTTATTTCACCATATGAAACACTCTAATTATATGTCAACAGTCTGCTTTCCTTTTAGAGTGTCAGATTTGGCTAACAGACCCCATGAAAAGGCTAATGTTTCAATAAATAATTTTAATTTCTGCCAGTCCTGTAAGTAGATGACATACATTTTATCTCTTAGACTATTTCAAGTGATCTATTTTTAAGGAATATTACAGTAGGGGGATTTTTTAATATGTGAAGTAAACTTAAAACATTTTAAAAAAACAAAAAATATACATTGAAAGGAAGAGAAAAACTTTGACCACCTTAACATTGTTGATGTTTATCTTTCAGGACTTATTTGTCCCAAATGCAATCATTCCTTAAAAAATGGGATTATACTGTACAATCTGATTTCTTAGCTACTATATACCATGAATATCTACTAATGTCAATGAATGTACTTCTACATTGCAAAGCTATTTGCAAAATATTTTGTCATTATTTATATATCATAAGTAATCAATCAGAAGTTATGGGGTATTTGAAGTTTTTTTCTTTTTTCACATTATTAGAAAAATGGTGTTATAAATATTGTTCTTGCATACGTCTCTAAATAGTTTTCTAAGACAGATTTTTTGAAAGCAGAATTGCTAGGTACAAATATAGGTGGATTTTTAAGAATGCTGAGATGAATTGCCAAATTTTCCCATGAAAGATTCAATCAATATACACACATAATTTGCCTAATTCTCTGTACCTCTGCCAACTTCAGGACTATTTCTTAAAGGCACAATAAATTTAATTTTTATTTTTGATATCCATGTCAGATATTAGCATAATTCAACATCTACTGCCATAGAACATAAATACCTGTTGAAATTGCTAGTTTATAAATACATGATTAAAAAACAAAATGTAATACTTACGGACACAGTCCCCTCCCATTTCAATTTCATCCGGGCCACATGAGTGTAATTTTACATCAGGAATAGCTACAAAAGATAAGGATTGTATATTTATTCAACTGGACATCAAGTTATAAATCTACATATATCAAAGATGACAATTCCTTGGGGAAGTATGTTTTAATACAGAACAAGACTTTTCTTAGCTGTCCTCTTTATTTCTTTTCATAATACACTATTTTCCTTTTAATAATGAGATCAAATGGAGATGAAAAGGGATTATATTTTAAAACCCTCTTAGCTTTCACATCTTGCTTTCTAGATTTGAATCTCCAATACTAAATAATAAAACCCAATGATAATATCAAATGCTGGCAAGAATGTGGAGCAACAGGAACTCTCATTCATTGCTTGTGGGGATGCAAAATGGTATAGCCACTTTGGAAGACAGTTTGGTAATTCTTCATAAAACTAAACATACTCTTATGATATAATACACAAATCATGCTCCTTTATTATTTATCCAAAGGATTTTAAAACTTATTTCCACACACACACACACACACACAAAAAAAAACCCTGCACATTGTTGTTTGTAGCAGCTTTATTACAATTGCCAGAACTTGGAAGAAACCAAGGAGTGTCCCTCAGTAGGTGAATGGATAACTGTGATGAATCCAGACAATATAAAATATCATTCAGTGCTAAAAAGAAATGAGCTATCAAGCCACAAAAAGAGATGGAGGAAACTTCAGAGAATATTATTAAGGGAAAGAAGCCAATATGAAGAGGCTACATACTAAATTATTCCAGCTATATGAAATTCAGGAAAAGGCAAAACTATGGAGACAGCAAGAAGATCCTTGGCTGCCAGGCTTGGGAGGACGGAGATGATGAATAGGCTGAACACAGAGGATTGTAGGGCAGTGAAACTACTCTGTATGCTACTGTAATCTTGAATACATGCTATTAGAAATTTGTCCAAACCCATAGAACGTACAACACCAGGAGCATAACCTAATGTAAACTATGGACTCTGAGTGATAATGATGTGTCAGTGTAGATTCAGCAATTGTAACAAATGTACCATTCTGGTGGATGATGTTGACAATGGGGGTGGGTATGTATGTGTGGGGTTAGGGAGTATATGGGAAATCTCTATACCTTCTGCTCAATTTTGCTGTGAAACTAAAACTGTTCTAAAAAATAAAGTCTATTTAAAAAATAAAGTCTATTTAAAAAATAAAAATGAAAAACATTATAAAGAAATGTATATAATAGTTGGTTTGGTGCCAGTTTCTTGGTAATTCATTGATCCCACCATTGTTGTTCATAGGATTACACCAGTAAGCCAAGAGCAGAGATGGTAATATTTATAACCCAGTACCCTGAATACAGTTCATTGGTACAGGGTAACTACTTGAACAAAGGTATAGTCTCATCAGACTGCTTCTTAGAAAAATTTAAAATTTAAAGTAAGGGATGAGGAGTTGAAAGTTGATTCAAGTTAATGATGGATCTCTACAGAAATGTCTAGACTGTTGTTGCCAGTATCCTGGAAGCTTGTCTATTCTCCACACCTTCTGAGGCTTTCCTATTTGATTCTTCCTCAGATTCAATGGCATATTCTAAATCCTTAGACTTGATCATCATTTACATTACTTATAGTTGTTCTCTGTTATGTACAACTCAAGCAGATTTGAAAATTTTTATTATATATACGTGTATATAATTAGATATATATTAGAATGTAGTATTTCTAGAAAACATGGGGCCAAAATACACTACTCTCCTGCCCAAGTATTCCATAAAATTGTGTCCCATCTTTACTTGAAGTTTCTTCTAGTCATTTGTTCTTTCTTCTATTTCTTTTTCCAGGTTGTTTTTATAGAATCGCAGTCAGCACCCTGGCTAAAAGATTTAATCCCAGGAATAGACAATTAAGAACCCCTAGAAACTGTTAGCAAAGAAAGAACAAATCATTTGGTTCTAAACTTTTTTGTTTCTTCCTGATTCAAACATTTGTAAATCATTAAACTATCATAAAGTAGCAGTTGACAAGAAAGGAAGCAAACAAGTAGAAAACTAATTTCAAAGTATGTGAGATGTGCAACACTCGAGGTCCTAAGTACAGTAGTGGGGCACTGTTGAGTTGCACAGCTAAGCTTGAGTTAGCAAAAGCTGTAAAGAGGAGGATATGCTTGATCTACATCACGAAGCAGGAAAGATTCATAAGATGTCCAAGCAGAGAAAACAAGTGCAAAGTATGGAGAAGAGGAGGAGGATGGAGCAAAAACCTATAACTGGAGAGGTTGGAGAGTGTCATAGTTGAGCATGCAAGCTTCCTGAGATTAATCTAGCTTTACCATTCACTCACCAGCTGTGATGTTGGGCAAGTGCCTATTTCCTCTGAATGCCTGTTTTCTATCCATAGAGTAGGGATTTTTTAAAATTAATTAATTAATTAATTTCATCATATTATGGAGGTACAAATATTGTTAGGGTTACAAATATTGCCTCTGCCCCCCACCTCCCCCCGATGTGTCCAATCCCCTGGTGGTGTGCATCACACACGTTACGGAATCATACACCCCTTTCCTCCTTCCCCCTCCCACCTGGCCACCACCCAATAAAAAGTTTTGTTTTGATTTTTTTTTTTACATTTTGGTTACATTGTATATCTTTGCCTCTCCCTAAGAAGAGTTAGAGTTATGCCCTTCCCCTCCAAAATACTCGCCACCTCCCTAAGATTGCCCCCCCCCGAATCCCTGGTGAGCACTGCCACCATTTGAAACCCATAGTTTTAATCAGTCAGTACCAATTTGATGGCGAGTAGATGTAGAGCCCATTTTCCATGTCTTGTGTGGCCTCACTTTGGATAACGGGCTTAAGCTTAATCCAGGATAGCATAAATGGTGCTAGCTCACTGTCATTTCTTAAGATTGAGTAATATTCCATTGTGAGGATATACCACATCTCTTGGGTTGTTTCCAGGACCGTGCAATAGTGAATTGTGCTGCTATAAACATTTGGGTGCAGATGTCTTTATAATAGAATGTCTTATACTCTTTTGGGTAGATGCCCAACAATGCTATTGCAGGGTCGAATGGTATTTCTATTTCTAGTTGTTTGAGGTATCTCCAAATTCTTTTCCACAAAGCATTCATCCCACTTCATTGCAATGGCCTCAACTATATACTTCCAACATGCTAGGAAACCTCTTTCCTAGGGGTTTTTGCCATTGCTCTACTCTACCATGATGGCCACATGGCTTGTTTACTTTGGAATTTCTCCTATTCTCACTTTCTTAATAGCTGTACTGAGGTATAATTGATGGGACATATTTGAAGTATAATTTATGACATGTTTTGATATATGAATACATCCACTAAAGTATAACCACAGTCAAAATAACATTTCCATCACCTCTAAAAGTTTTCCTGTGTCATTTTCTAGACTTTCCATTTGTCACTCCTTCACATTCACAGACAGCAACTTATCTGCCCTGTTATTAGGTTTAGATTACATTTTCCAGAAATGTATGGAAATGTAATTGTACAGTATGTATTTTTTGCCTAGATAATTTAATTCCATATAAATGTTTCAGATTCATCTATGTTTTGGGTCTATCAAGAGGTTATTTTTTTATTCAAAAGTAGTATTTCATTGTATGGGCTTGTCATAACTTGGTAACTGGTTGATAGACATGTAGGTTGTTTTCAGTTTGGGGCTATTTTGAATATAATTCCTTTGAACAATCATGTAGAAAACTTTTTATTGACATATGCATTCATTGCTCCTTGAATATCAAAGAATAAAATAGTTGAGTCATATGAGAAGTTATATGTTTACTTTTTAAGAGACTGCCAAATTATTTTCTAACATGATGTACCATTTTATACTCTGACTAACAGAGTACAACAGTAGACGTCTAGTTGCTCCATAGCCCTGTCATCACTTAGTATGGCCATGTTTAAAAATTTCTGACATAATACAATGGTATTTCATTGTGGATATAAAATCCATTTCACTAATGACTAATGGTGTTGAGCATATTGTCATGTGCTAATTTTCTACTATTATGCCTTTGGAGAAGCTGCTGTTCAAATCTTATTGTGAAGTTGTTTTCTTATTATTGAGTTCTGAGTGATACTTATATATTTTAAATCCAATGCTTCATTAGATGTATGAACTACAAATATTTTCTCCTAGGCTATGGCTTTTCTTTTCATTATTTTTAGTATGTTTCAAAGATCAGAAGAATAAAAGTCCATAATTTTGAAGAATTTCAATTTATATTTTTTAATGGATCATAATTTTGGTGTTATATTTTTAAAATATTTGTCTAACCTAAGATCACAAATGTTTTCACCTAAATGTGAAAGTATTCTCTGGAAGCTTTATATTTTTAGATTTTATAGTTGAGATGTGAGTCTTTGATGACTGTGAGGTTGCTTTGATTTTTTTGTGTGTATTTTGATGAGAGATATGAATCAAAGTTCTCTTTTTTTTTTGTACATGGATATTCAATTTGCTGAAAACAGAATCCATTTTCCATGTAATAGGATCTGTTCTTGAGTTGAAAATTAGATAAGTATATTGTGTGGGTCTATTTCTGGACTCTATTCTTTCCCATTGATCTATTTGTCTATCCAGGTGTAAATACCTCATTGTCTACATTATTGTAACTTTAGCATAAGTTTGAAGCTAGGTAGTATAAAAGTTGTCAAACATTTTTTCCTTGTAATAGTTGTTTGGGGTATAAGTAGTTTGTATTTTTATATGAATTTTGTAATGAGTTTGTCAATTTCCATGAGATAACTTGGGATATTCATTGGGACTATTTTGGAACTATAGATTAATTTTAGGAGAAATGATGTATTAATATTGTGTCTTTTGATTCATGAACATGGTTTCTCTCTCCATTATCTTAGATTTCTATATTTTTCTCAGCAAAGTTTTATACTTTTCACTGTATAGGTCTTAAACATATTTTGCCATAGGTATTACTAAATGTCTTATATTTTTGGTACTAGGTATGTTTAGATAAAATTTCTGATTGTTCATTGCTAGTACAAAGAAATATA